AGGAGGAAGAAGAGGAAGATGATGAGGAGGAAAAGGAGGAGGAGGCGGGGGTTCGGTCCCAGAGCCCCCACACGCGGGGAACGGACGCGGCACTCATAAGAGGGTTGGCAGTGGGAGGAGGAGGAGGAAGAGGAGGAGGAGGAGGAGGAGAAAGCGGAGGAGGAGGAGGAATACGAAGAAGCATAAAGAGGCGGGACGAAGGTTGGAGGAGGCGAGGGTGGGGGAGGGGGAGGAGGAGGAGGAGGAGGAGGAGGAGGAGGAGCAGGAGGAGAAGGAGGAGGAGGAGGACCAGAGTATATCCAAGACGCATCAACGATGTTGCAATAACCACTTCTTCCGTGTTTCTTCTTTAGAGGTTCCGTCCCGACAGTCATGTATTGTCATTGCGGGAAGTGCCTGCCCCATTAGAAGACGATTGTCCGATAAGCCTCAATCGTGCCAAGGCACCGTTGTCGGGACGTCAGCGCCGCGAGTCAACGTGACTGTTGCGTCCTGACAGTTCTAAATCACGCCCGAGCATTGTTCCTGGGACCTCAACACCGCGAGTCAACGTGACTGCTGCAAATTGAACAGTGTCAGTCGCATCAGAGTACCATCCGTGTGACGTCAACCATACGAGTCATTGGCGCTGTTCTAAACTTTCAAGACGAATGTGCGCGGTGTTAAGGCGAGAGCCACAGTGCGAAAACCAGCCGCCCTCTGAAACTGTTGCGAACTTTTAAATAGAATTTGCGCGGCGCCAGGGTGAGTGGCACATTTTGGATCGGCGCGCCCTCGATTTGCAACATTTTGAAACACTTTGAAGACGAATGCGCGCGGCGCTTAGGCGAGAGCCGTATTTTGAAATCCGCCTGCCTTTCATCCGTATAGTGTTTTACTGATATCAACCTTCACGCCAGAAGAAGTGCGACGCCAGTTGAAGAAGATGTGTGGGGGCAAGGCTGCAGGTGACAATGGGGTGGTGGCTGAACTACTACGCACATGAAGCGACTTGCTGGTACAAGTGGTTGCAGCCGTGCTCACAGCGGTATTGGACCCAGGGGCAGCCGTGCCAAGTTATTGGAAAGCGTCTTCAATCAGAGTTCTTGTCAAGAAGGAAGACGAACGTTTACCAGGGAATTGTAGACCCATCTGCATAATCCCCATATTATATAAACTCTTCAGCCAGGAACTGTGCGAAAGATTCAAAGACAAGCTTTTAGCCGAGCCGTCTCTCAATCAAGCACGCTTCAGAGCAGGTTTCCGCTCTGACGGCCACTTGTTCGCAACTGCGCTGCTCGCAGAGAAGTGCAATGAGTTCAACGTGCCTCCGTGGAGTGCCACGCCGTATGTTAAGACGGGTTTCGATTCTATTCGCCATGTGAGCATCCGGCAGCCGTTGGTGGCTCACGGAGCGCCGTCTGTCTACGTAATGCGTGCTTTCCAGGCTGTGTGCAGCGGGCAACGGGCACACGCCAATTGCGACACGCCAGGCCGGAAGTTCGACACTGTGAACGGGACGAGACAAGGCGACCCCATGAGCCCAATCATTTTCAAGTGCGTGCTCGAGGAAAGCCTGCGCAAGGTGAAATCCCATTGGGCTCCCAAAGTGTAGGGCGTGCATCTCGGCGACTGCGGACGGTCTGTCTAACCAGAGGTGCGCAGATGGCATTTTGTTGGCCGGCCAGTGTGTGCCGCAACTCAAAAGAACGATCGTGGACGTGCGGCGAGAAGGTGCGAAGAGGTAAAAGGTGAGGCTGGAGCTGCACTCAGAGATAACGAACATACATCACAACAACAGTGGATATGGAACCACGGTCAGAATTCCTATTGTGGAGGGAATAAAGGACGACAGTGATGGAACCGACGGAAACAGTATTTATTCAGGCAGGGTGCTCTCGCTGGTGAACGTCCACGACGCTGAGCTGACGCACTGGCTAAAGAGGGCGTGCGTGAAATTCGTGAAATTTGGCACATTTAAGCATGATTTGACAGACAGAGCAGTGCCGATCGAGCTCCGGATGCGTTTGTTGAATTCTGTGGTGGCCCCAGCTGCGTTGTATGGTTTAGGAAGCTGGGTTATGACAGCGGAACGGGATTCTATGCTGGGGCGGGGGCGCAAGTATTCGCCAGACGGGAGCGTGGAGACTTGGGTGGATTAGGTGCAGCGCGTTACATCGGAAACATTTGGACTTATGGAGTAATTCAGCGTATCCAGTCGGACAGAGGAGCGCCGCTCCCAGCTACAAAGTTGGAGCGACCGACTCGATGAGGCTCAATGAGTCCGCGACTGGATCCCTGAGGGGCACAGAGCCAGAGGACGCCCTCTTACAAGATGGTCCCGACCAATTCTCGCTGAGCCCGTAAGGGCGCGTAGCCGCGCGCGCGGCCCGTACTCAGCCTTCCTTCTATCTTTCTCCTTCTTTCCTTCCTTTCTTCCTATTATCAACCTTGAGGACCATGCGTATTTTCTTTTTGAAGTCTCAGGCGAAACGCCCAGCCCGCCCTACCAATACGTCTGGGGGTGCGACAGGGAGGACTTGTTTGAAAGGAAGTGGAATGGATGGATGGATGGATGGATGGCTGGCTGAATGGATGGATGGATGGATGGATGGACTGACGGACGGATGGATGGATGGATGGATCGATGGTTGGATGAATGGATAGATGGATTGATGGATGGATGGATGGGTGGATGATGGTGATGATGGTGATGATTCTGATTTTGATGACGGTGGCGATGATGGTGGTGATTATGGTGATGGTGAGGATGATGCTGATGGCGCCGATGATGACGACGACGACGACGACGACGACGACGACGACGACGACGACGACGACGACGACGACGACGACGATGATGATGATGATGATGATGATGATGATGATGATGACGATGCTGATCGTGATGACGAGGAGGGGGGGCAGGAGGAGCAGGATGTTCCAGGGGTCCATAATCTCACGTATAGGTTTAGCTTTTGGTGTTTCACTCTGGGGGCCGATGGACAGAGATCCATCTTGTACGTGTCCGTGCCACATGTGGCTCAAGGGAAAACATTCTGTCCCCTCTCCTGCTGCCACAGTTGGTAGCGGAGCGGGGTCCGGCCCGGAGGCCATGGGCGCGAGAGGCTGGCTGTGACGGCCAGGCCGCTCTGCGCTTGCGCGCCCCGGAGCCAGGCTTCGCTCTGACCACTGAGCAGCGTGGGATCCACGGCAGAGAGATGCCCGCAGATGGTGAGCGGCAGCCGCCGCCAATCGCCCCAGGAGGCGATGGACGAGAGGAGACCTTCGCCGTCTTGGCAGCTCGAGGAGCTGAGGGGTCGACGGCGGGAGCAGCAGCATCAGGCTCTACGGTCGTGGCGGCGACGACGATCGATCAGGAGACGCTCACTCGGGCAATGCAGTCCGCGGTCCAGGAGACCGTGCGGGCGCTCGGCCATTTTGGCCAACAGCAGCAGCGGCCACCGCCAGAGACAGCACCGACGGTGGCCGACCCATGGGACGGCACGGGGGCCGACCCGTGGAGCAGCAGCAGAACCAGACAAGCCGCCGAGGTGGGCAGCGGAGAAGCAGCAGGAGATTCAGGACAGCGGCGCCCACCCGGCGACAAGGACGACGTGAAGGAGGACCAGAAGTGGGACGAGCACCAGGACTGGAGCTCGAGCTGGAACAGCAACTGGTGGCCAGGCCAATGGACTGGGGGCCGAGGTGATTTTTCGGACCCTCCAGCGTGGCCCGGCTGGGCCCACTACAGACAATGGCGCCAAGCCATTCGGCGCTGGAACGACAACACCGACGTAGCGGTCTGGAGGAGGTCGGAGAAGTTCATGCGGCTCTTCGACTGGACGATGCAGGCCAAGTTCGAGGACATCCCGGACAAGGAGCTCACCACATCGTCATGGTTGCAGACGCTCCTCAGTCGCATGGACTTGATGATCGGGGAGCGCGAAGGAGACGAGCTACGACGGGCAGGACGAAAAGCATTATACGAGGCCGTCCGCGACTCCAAGGAGACGCTCACCCAGTACGTGAGTCGTCGTGAAGCAGAGTTCATCGACGCGGAGGGCCACGACTTGTGGATGTCCGACAAGCTCAAGGGTGTCTTCCTAGAGGAAGGGGCCAATCTCACTCAGCAGGGCGTGCAGAACTTGCGCACGCTCACTCGCGGGGACCTGACCTACAGCAGCGTGAAGTGGGCACTGCGCCAGCTTGATTCATCAGCCGGCACTGAGCGCCTGCTTCCCGGCAAAGCCGGGACAGGCAGCATGCTAGCGGCAGCGTCTGAAGACCTAGGGCCGAGCGCTCGCTCGGACGCTGGTGCTTTTCAGTCTTCCTCCTCCCCTCCTAACCTCGGTCGGTGTGAAGGTAGGTCGGAGGATGCCAACTACCAGGTGGTCGAGGACGAAGAGGATGACTACGACGAGGGAGCCGACGAGTCGGACGAGCTCGAGGAAGAGGACGTGGCGGCCT